TGAACCTCCCCTGTAAATTTCATTAATTAATTGGTAAAACATGCATTGGTAAGCTTTATAAAAGTAGTCTGTGTGCTGACAAGAACTTGATTTCATGAATGTGTTGCACAGTAATCTGCTGTTGAGCTCACTCTCTGACACTGTGGAGCAGCAGGACACTGCCTGTCAGTCTCTATGTGATGCTGTATTTAGCCTCAATAAAGCAACCAGTTGACGGATGGATGGATGGTTATTTAGATGTCGTTTAGAAAGTTTCCTTTGAAAACCTGTTTTCTGCCGTCAGACGTGATCCGATCAATCCGGGACCCTGAGAAGCCGAACACTCTGGAGGAGCTGGAGGTGGTAACGGAGAAGTGTGTGGAGCTGCAGGAGCTCAGTGAGGATGAGTGCCTCATCATCATCAGGTTCTCTCCAACCGTGCCTCACTGCTCCTTGGCTACTCTTATAGGTGAGTGGGACCGCTGCCCTACACCCAGCTGAAACCAGGAGACGGGATGTTTGTCCAGATGTTAAACCTGCATAGATCACTGTGATCAGGAACAGGCAGCAAAGCTTTTCAAAGTTCGGCTGTAATAGAAGGTTATTTGCCTCCAAAAGGAAGCAGCTCATTCAAGGCTTTAATGTGATCGAAAAGTCAACAAAGTTTGTAAATTTGAAATTGTCCCCATTTCAAATAAAAGTATGGCTCTGCAGCGCTCTCTACACTGATGTAGGTCCTCAGGTGTATGGAAGGGATTTGAACAGCGATACAAATAACATTTCTGAGCTTGCCTAGTGGCTGTTGGCCTAAAATGATTCCTGCTTCCCCCAGAAGTTGGACATCTCTACCATGGGATCCGTATTGGCTGCTCATAGACTGACCTCTTCTAAGCCTCTCCACTTTAGGGAGTCTCTTTTCTCCAGTTCCTCCTTATGTTTCTGAACTGTTAGATAAGGCAAGTTTATCCCTATGGCAGATTTCTGTGGGAAGACGATTCAAAGTGGAGAGAATAAGAGTAATTCATTCAAATATAAAGATTATATAAAGCAATAGAGGATATGAAACAACATTTGGTCTGAAATCTTAACTAATTAGTCGTCATCATCATTAAATCCATTACATTTGTAGAGCTCCTTAATACAGCTACAGCTGAAACAAAGTGCTGAACATAGTTAAACATAGGAAAACACAATGAAAGATAAAAAGCAGCATAAAGATATATAAAAAAGGCATTTATAAAAACAAAATAAACACTGTCAACACAACTAGGTCCTGCCAGTGTTGAAAGCCAATGAATAAAAGTAAGTCCTGAGCAGCTTTTTAAAAATCTGGCTGTAAAGGAGCCTCTCTAATGTGCAGTGGGAGGTCGTTCCATAAAAGAGGAGCAGCGATAGAGAAGGCTCTGGCTCCTCTGAGCTTCCTTTTAAACCTCGGTTCCTGCAGGAGCTCCTGCTCTGCTGACCTGAAGGACCGAGGAGGCAAGTAGGGATGAAGAAGTTCAGAGAGGTTAGATGGGAAAAGGTCATTTGAGCAATTAAAATTAAAGATAATACTTTTAAAAACGACTCCAAAAAGCACAGGCAGCCAGTGGAGTGAGGCCAGGATGTGATACAAGTTTAAAAACCAGTAGCTGCTTTTTACACCCACTGCAGGTGAGAAAGCAAAGTCTGACACACAGTCAAGGGTTTCACTTAACTGAAAGGTTTTAATCTGGATTTAATCCAATTGAAGATTTAAAATATTTTCTAGTTTTCTGGGAGTTTATTCCAGTTTGGTTCTGCAGGGTAGTGTTACATCCTCTGGTTGGGTCTAGGAGGTAACATGAATTTAGACAGGGAATGAAGGAGTCAAAAAGGCATTGAAATAGGTTAATTCTGCCATTTCTTTTAAATAAATACAGTAAAGGTTTCAGGGAGAGCCCAGGCCAAAATAACAAACAAACAACCCTAAAAGAAAAAGAAAAGTGGACTTGCCTAACTCAATCTAAAACTAAAATATACAAACCTACAAAAATAACCTGCCTAACCAGCACATACACAGGAGAAAACTGGGGTCAAACAAAAAGGCAGCTCTCCCCTACAAAAACCATCAAATCCAGTTAACCTGGAAGGTCTGGGTTGTTCATTCACTGGCAACAAGTCTGTAATGTAATCTGGAACTTTGCTGTTCAGTGATTTATAGACTAACAGAAGTATTTTAGAGTCTATTCTCTGAGATACGGGGTGTCAGTGAAAGGACATTGAAACTAGGCTGATGTTCTCTACTTTCTAAGTTCTAGTGAGGACGCAGGCAGTGCATCCGCTAAGGCTAACCATAGAAGTTGCAGTGTTCTTGTCATTTTAATTTACTTAATTCATTTATTTAATTTTTATTTTCTGTAGGTATGAATGAGCATCTCTGAACTATGAAGTTGGTATAATTGGTTCAGTCATGCTTTTATTTTCTGCTTTATTATTTGTGTCTGATAAAGTTATGTTATCTCTGCAGGCCTGTGCATTCAAGTGAAGCTACAGCGGTGTTTGCCATTCAAACACAAGGTGAGTGTGATGAAGGACGATCCAATTAGTCCTCACAACATCACCAATCAGGAGATTTCTTGTTTCAAACGTTTTGTTGTTATTCGAATCATTAAAAGCCTTCGTCAATGGAAAGAAATATTTCAATTGTCCTTTATGTATCCTGTTTCTGTTCCTTTAGATCGGTCTTAGCGTCCTGTTAGCTTTTTTAAATTGTCAACAACATAAATTTTTCTTAAATGTAGTTTTTTTCTTTTTCTCTTCAGTTGGAAATTTACCTTTCAGAAGGAACTCATTCTACTGAAGAAGATGGTAAGCCATAAAAAAAAAATTATTGTACTATAGACCGATACATCGGCTAGATGATACATTTGGCAGATATTAGCATTTTTTTAGCATTCTTATATCCGTTGATTGGTGCATGCGTTAGCCGATTAACAGCACATTTGTTATGTTTCTTTTTTGTTTAAACTGAGCCTTATAGGATCTCCTGCAGTGACTGCGTAGGTGAAAGCCACTTCAGAGGGATCTCCCAGGGGAATTTTAAATATATCGCTTTTAAATCCACCTTTTATTTGCGGCGATTGACAGACTGTAGTTATAACTTTAGTGCATCAGTATCATGAATTGTTCTTCATCTTAAGTCACATTGAAAAATCGAGAGAGTGCGATGCAAACCTGGACCAGGAGGCGAATCCATGCATTTTATGCTGTGTTTTCATCATTTTCACGAGAAGGTGAAGTTGCTTTGTCGGACAACATGAGCTTAAACACGGCAACGCTACACTGATCGAAACGCAGAAACGAGCCGCTTTCACCAAAGCCAAGTCTGAATATCGCTCCTTTCTAGTAAACAAACAACATTCAGACCTCTCTTTCCTGATGGTCTACAAGTTTCATATGGGGATGAAACATTTCCGAGGATGAAAACATTTTATTAGAGGCGAGTGATGGATGGAAAGTTCCTGCCAACGCTCAAATACAGTCTTGTACTTTGGGCATTTTCAGTCCAGTCTTCTAAAGTTATGGTTTCCTTCTTTTTTGGGGGGATTTCAGACTCCAAAAATATAAATAAATGATGCATTGAGTCTACAGATCCTTTAAATTACTCTTTTTATGCTTTTGGGTTATAAAAAAAAATCTGTAAACTGATGAGTCAAGTGAAAGATTTGTTGAAGGTTTGTGTCTTTTGGCATAAAACTGACAGCATTTCCAGGACCAGAAGCTAAGTGTAGGAGCTGGTGGAGTGGAAACAATCATGTCATTAGGAATTCAAATAAAACCAGGGAGATGGTTGTAGACGCCTATCATGGGAGTAAAAGTGGACGCAGCCGAGGAGTCGTAATACCTCTGTGTTTAGGCTGACAGCAAACCTAACTGGAGATGAAACAGTGACGAAAAAAAAGAAGGGACAGATGCACCCTGGACAGGTCATTTGTCCATCACAGGACAAATAGCCATGCAGACACACTTGATAGAGACAGCAGTTAATCTAACAGACAGGATTTGGGGCAGTGGGAGGAGGCCTGTTTATTTAGAAATCACCCATGAATGCAAATCAACACGGGAAGAACCCAGGACCTTGGTTTTGCAGGCAGCAGTGCTACGATTACACTATGCACCCTATAAGCCCTTTGTTTGTTTGTAAATTATACAAAGTCCTGATATCTTTATAATATTAATACATAATAAACTTATTCTTACTTGGGTGTGATTAAAAATTGAAAATGGGGAATCTGTGCAAATAGGTGTTTGCTTCATCTTTTGTCCTTTAATTCATCACCTGTTTCTGTCTCCAGTTAATAAGCAGATCAACGATAAGGAGAGGATAGCAGCGGCCATGGAAAACCCCAACCTCAGAGAGATTGTGGAGCAGTGCGTTGCTGAGCCAGATGACTGACGAAGGAAACGCCGCCTGGTTATTTAGGAGGCGGGAGTCATCTTGGACACAAGTTTTAGTTTTGAGCCGTGATAATAATCGTACATTGTTTGAAATGGATGCTCCCTGCCCACCTGGGTATCGTTTGGACAGCGATGCGGTACATTTAGAGTCAGGGCTGTTGTGTTGATCCGATTCTGTTCAAAGTTTTATCGTCTCCTTTGATTGTTAAAGCAAGAAGTATGGAAATCTTTTCTATTGCAGTCTGTTTTTAGGAAGTGTGCTAAGTTGATTTAAATCAAATGTATGTCTTATTTAAAGAATGGCTTTAAAATGAAATGCATTATAATTAATTCTATATATAAAACTCTTGTGATGAAAACATCAGATGTCAAGGCAGCTGAGTCTGTCTTAATTCCACAGGAGAGCAAGCTGGTTCCTTAGTTCTTCTCTTCATCTTTGCTAAGATCTTAATACAAGACTCAATGTCAATAAATGGTATAAATGTCTGTTTTTCACATGAAAAGGTTGTCTCATTATAGTTTTTTTTTTTTTTATAAATTCCCAACAGCTGCAAAGCTCCAGATGGAAGAAATGGGGCCTGGTTTTGAAATAGTCTATTTCAGCACCTTTCACTAAGAAAAAACATTTTTGTATTTGTAAACTCCTTTTACACTTAAACTAGAGATGTAGATATTCACAACATAGACATGCAGCCAAAGCAAGGAACCAGAGGATGAATTTGGAGTAATGCGGGGGCCATTGTTTTTAATGCAGCACGGGGAAAAAAAGCCTACAACGAAAAAATGGTAATAGTTCATCGTTTGAGAAAGTGAGCTGGCAACACTCGGAACTGGATGAGATGAGGTGAAATTTCCACATTTAAATTAATGTTTTTTAAATAAAAAACAGTATTTGTAGTTTGAAGCGGATAATTTTATTTAACATAACATGAAAAAGCATCTGAAATAATGAGTTGCTAAGTAAAAGGTGATGGTGTTATATGACCGTATGATGTCACATTTCTTGGTGGATGTGACCTCATTGGGTGACCATTTGATGGTGGGTGTAGCCAGTGATGCAACACCACGAACAAAGTTGCTTTTACAATAAATAATTTATTCTGCTTAAAGATAAAGGAAAGAAAATGTTTCCTACTGGATGCAAAATGACTTTAAAAACTGATGTACATAATATAGTTAAAGGATATCTGTAGGTTGCATGCTGCTGCATCATGATTGAGCTAAAGGGTAGTGATGGTGAGATGAGGCCTCATGAGACGTTGAAACCCCTTAAAACAATTAACCCTTTGCTGACCATAACTGATTGCCAGTGTTTTTGGGATGAAAGATGCTTTGATGATTTGGGTGATGATGACATTCTTGACATCCCAGAAACTGATAAAGACAACTGGAGAGATGTTGAACATGGATTAACACCCCCCAACTGCTGGATCAGTTAAAGATCTCAATAAACAGCCTTGTTTGTTACAAGTTAAGATACTTTCGCCCATTTAGCATACAGTTGTTACAGTGTGAAAAGTGTTTTAACCAAGTCTTACAATCCCAGATCTAGCTAAAAAAAAAAAAAACTAAAAAGTCCCCTTTAATCTTGTATTAATATTCAAATACTAGTCAAAAGTTGTTTTTTATTGAGTTAGGTAGATGTGAACTGTTTGAGAATATTTATTTAGAACTTTTATTTCCTTCATTGTATTCAAACAAAACCAACTCTTAGATCCTGAAGGAAAGGCACCATAAAGAATATCTGCCCCCACCGGGAGCTGCACAATAGCAGCCCACTGCTCCCCAAGGGGATTGGTTAAATGCAGAGAAGTAATTTCCCTCTGGGATTATTAAAGTATAAAAAAAAATAAATAAATAAAAACAGACAGAAAAGCACAAGTTATGAAAAATTAAAAGATGTTGATTACTAAATGGAAGATCTTCTTTAGAATTGTTTTATTTGACTGGATAGATTTATTTTTAAGAAAATGGCAAACGTTTGATGTCATGTTAACCTGCACCACAGAGCTACCGCCACACACATGCAGCGTCACTTTGTTGCCATTAGGAACAACTGCTTTCCCTTTCCATTGGAGGGGAGAGGCCAACCCGTTCATGTTTAACCTCCCCCATTTACAATCCAGGCACCTCCACAGCTGTGAGTGACTTTATTGTGACACTTGATAGTTAGTGGTTGAGGTGCGGTTTGGATTCAGCTGATCACAGCATATATCAGTGACTATAGACGTTAGTAGACTATAGTACTTCATTATGTTTAAAACACATTAAAAAAATACAGTACCAATGAAAATGATTATAATTTCAAAGGAAGTGAGATCTTCAAAAAAAAAAACAAATTTAGAAATAAAGTGATGGAATATGTGTTTCTATCAAAGCATTTAGCTTATGGAATAATCTGAGCAAAGAATCGAAAGAATCACAATCAATGTTTATATTTTAAAGGTTAATAAAAGCACAATATATAGAATATAAACCTAAAAAAACATATATTTTAGATTTGGAGGTCAGATGTTTAATTTATGTTTTGTATATTTTCATATGCTTATTGTGTTGTTGATGCTTTTGTGATTGAAGTTCTTTTTATGTGTATTAATAAAGATGAGCAGTGTGGGGTTAAGGGTCTTGCTCAGGTAAAAAATTCTTAGATAAAGTGTATTTACCCTTAATTTAAGTAGGAAAATAAGATGATTTACCAATGGGATGCATATTTTTACTCTTACAATAACATAATTAGATAATATGCACTTGTAATAAGACAATGCAGTTGCTTTTTCTTATTTTAAATATAGTCTTGTTTCATCGGCAAAGTATCTCACCTCCTCAGTTCAAGATAAAATGCACTTATTTTTAAGAAAAATGTAAGATTTAATTTTTTTTTGCAATGTGTGTATTTATAATTTTTTATTGAAGCAAAAGAATGGAAGTTAGTAGCACACGAGAAATAAAATAGACTAGCATTTCTATAAAAAAAATCTTAAAATATATTTCTATTACTCTGTGATACGTGAGAATATAACTTTTAGAGACATCAAAATGGAACACAATATTTCTGCTTGAAGCTCATATCTTGTAATGTTTTGTTACCTCAGGGGCAGGGATGAATCCATTTTGTGGAGATTTAGGTCATCAATTATATCATCACATGCAACTATCTTGAGAATTTGAAAACATTTGCTTTATATCTGCTGAAATTAGCAGGGGGGAACCAAATAATTCAGCTGTCTGAAATGATAAAAACCAACTCCTTCCTGATCAGTCTGCTTCCTCCCCTCCGACCAACCAGAAAGTTCCTGCAGTTCTCTGCTTCCAGATTCTTGTTGCTTTTTGTAAATAAAACATTCAAACTCACTTGGTCTCCATGTGATTGTGCATATGAGTCAAAAACTGCAGTATCTTGTTCTTTCATTTAGAGTGAACACTATATCCTATTTTTCCCTCATGAGTTTTGATAAGTTTGTGCAAATAAGGCTTAAATTCCTTTTTTGTCAAGTTAAAACTGCCATTTTGTACCCAAACCATTGTCATTGTAGCCCTCTGTAGTTTTATTTTAGATCTGAAAACAACCATTTTGTTCTTAATTTACTTTGAGAAAGGCAGACCATCGCAGCAAAACTTTAGTTTTATTTCATATTTCATTTTCAAATTTGTCTCAGTTTATATCCATATTTAGATTGCTGTTTTTAGTTTTATGTTATCAATCTGTTTACATAATCATTTGACAGGAAAATCCACATTGTTGTAAGTATGACACTGAATATGCAGCTTCCTTTGTTTCTGCATCAGGAATGCTGCAGTTTCCATTCACTTGCTTTACTTTTAGGGTTCAACAACAGTATTTCTATTTTATACAACAGAATGCAGCCGTCTTTAAGACACAAGGGGACTTGTGGTACAAGTAGAAATATGTGGAGGAACAGCTCTGCCAAGGAGTTTTGGAAACCTTCAGGACAAATTCTTAAGGCAAGCCAGAGATAGACAGAGGGAAGAAGAAAAGAAGAGAAAAAACAAGAAAATAATCTGATAGACAAGTTTAAAACAAATACCATTCACTGAAAAGGATGATAGCTTATTTTTTTTCTTCAAAAGCTTGTGCATCACCACCTGCTGGTCAAAACTATTAACAACAGCTTTTAAACAAGTAGACTGAAAAAGGTTAAGAAAAAAACATAATGTACATATATATATATATATATATATATATATATACATACACACATATATACACACACATACTCGTTCTGCTATCGTAGTGAGGACCCTATGTTGACTTCCATTGATTTTCAGTCATTTTCAAACTTTCTATGCCCTATACCATTACCAATGCATACTTCACCCTAAGCCTAACCCTAACACATTTTACCTCTTAGCCCTAATCATAACCATTAGCAAAATAGCATGTGAGGACCAGGAAAATGTCCTCACTTTGCAACAACTGGTCCTCAATTTGATGGTGAAATTTGAAAAAGGTCCTCACTCGCAAAAATGTATTTACTAAACTGTTGTTTGTGTTACAGTATTAGACACAACCTTTTGTTGAGGATTTCCCCAAATTTTTGAAAAGGCTCTCCACTAAAAACAAAGTACATGATGGGGAGGAAATGACAGACCTCTGTAAATGTCTGGGATGACATAGTGAACTCCATGGAGTCTCTAACCACCCAGAAAGGCTCTGTGGGCAGCTGATGTTCATAATAGAGCACTCCAGACTCCAACTGGACATCAAATAAAACAACAATAAAACAACTGGCTAAGAAAAGTGATTTTTAACAACACTTAATGATCCTTTTTTCTACCCTTTTTATTTTTTAAGTGATGGTTCTTAAAGGTATAGTGGAGGATTTTCACAAATTTTTAAAAAGACCCGCCCTCTCCACTTAAAAAAGCACATGCACAACCCTGTACCCGCTCCCCAGAGGGAACACCTATTAAATGCGTGTGAGAGCGTGCACGAGCCCATTTCTCCTCGTGCACGCTCTGTTGCTGTTGCTGTTTGCATCACTCATACAAACTTACTTACCAAAAGATTTGCAATTTTTCATTATTTCAGACTCACCACCATTAGGTGAAAATGGGGACGAGCAAGTAGGACGGCCTTACTTAAACATATCACCAGGATGATTGACAATTAGGAGGACCACTTATTTAGATGATCCACCCAGAAAAAGAACATCATCCACTAAACCTTTAAGTATAATTCAGATTAAATGTTTTAACAGGTAGCCACAACTGCAATTATCCAGAGGTTTTATGAGAAAGAAAAGATAACTTGAGGATTTTACTGTAAGGCTTTATAACAGTATAAAACTATTAAAGAAACGAAGCGAGCGGGTTTTGTTGCATCAACATTTTATTTCCATTAGCTCCTGTAACAGACTCAGAGACATACTGCAGTCCTATTGTTGCATTTGGTCCAGAAACATTGCATTTATTTAAAATGATTAGTTGATTACAGAAGAAGTAAAACATGAAAATATGAACTGATGATTGGAAAGTGACTGACATAATAAATAAACACAAATGCAAGGACATAGTGATGAGATGCTGCAGTGAATTGGAAAAAAGCAGATTGACACATACAGATTATGGACCTACAAAACACATACACATCTCAAAGCAGAGAAGAATTTTTAAATTTAATTACTTGTTCTTTTAAAGTGTAAAGTACTTCAAGAAAAAAACGAAACCTTTTAGAACACATAATATATACATATAAACCAGAAAGTGTGAAAATGTAGAATTCTTAGGGAAACTCTTTATGTTAGAATATATGAGCAAAAGGCAAAATGTTTTATTGTTTCCAAGCACCTCTAATTACTGCTAGGGATTAAGGAAAAAAAAGACTAAAAACAACCAAATAGGATGGCTGTAAAGAAAAAAAAGCTCAATCTCTATTTGGCATGTGAAAAACAAGGCACATATGGGAAAAGCCATAAGAAAAAGATGTATAGCAAATAAAGTTTCTCTGTACAAGAATAACGATCATTTTAATAACCTGTAAATACTGTAAACTTTCAATTTGACCTTCAATACCAAGGTCAACAGGCCACAGTACTAAAACAGGAGAGGATTGTGATTTACAGCAGCTCTCTTTCTATCTTTAACATGTAAATCAAGTAAAATTGCAAAAAAAGCTAAATTAATTTAAATGAGACTTTATATTTAACTAGAATAAAATACATTTCTAATTAATACAGTAAAATTTATTGGATGGCTTTGGGTCATTTAAAATTGAAAAAAACTGTCAGTTTTTAAACTGGAAACCTTTGACTATTTTGGAGTAAAATGACAGGATTCAAGTGATGTATCAGTTCTGTTACAGGTGGTTATGCAGCCCAGAAAATATTTAAAAGCTCTTTGGAAGCACATAGAAGTAATACATTCTGATAGATGTTGAGCTGACAGAGCTAATGTTGATTAAATCTGTGCAATTTGGCTTCAAGTGCTTTGTTTCAACTTTATTTCTACTTTTAAGCATCTGTTCTCCATTTGTGTTTACAATTGAAGGAATGTTAGCTTAGCTTCACTTAGCATTAGCCAAGTTCTGTGCTATCTGGGGTTAGCTTAGTTTAGCATAAAGAAAACTTAATGAAAAGCCCTTAGCTTCATAGATACAAGTTGAAATGTGATTCAATGCTACACCTAGAAGTGGTATTATTTTTTCTGTCACTGAAGACACTAAATGAATATTTTTAAGCTAAATACCTGAGATAGGACACCTTATTTTCAAAAATAAAGCAAAAACATCATAGGCACCTTATACTAAGCAGCGGCTTTATTAGGAAGGCCTTGTTAGTAACAGGGTTTGACTTTTATTTTTATTCAGAATTCCGTTTTGGGGATTTAATTAAATAGTTTTTGCTAATGGATTTTGATAAAATTTTACACAGTTGATGCAAGTTTGTTATCTATCCATGAGTTCTAACACATCACTGTGGTGTTCCAAAGTGGAGGCCGTCATGTTCAAACCCATGTAAAAAGGTTTGAGGCCTGGGATCCCGTTGGAAGAATTCATCAGAATATGGATACGGTCGGATTGTTAAGAGATGGACGTTTACTTGCAATACTCTGATCCCTTAGCAAAAAGCAGTATACCTGTTGTAAATTCTAAGAATACTTAAGTATAAGTTTAGAAATTATACCCGAACAATGTACGTTAGTGTACTTGAAGTATTACTAAAGTAATACTTCAAGTACTACTTCAAGAACTAAATTTGGACATTTTTAAGTTTACTAAAGTATACTTAAAATAAAGTTTAGTAAACAATAAAGTAAACAATAGTATAGTCAAGTACACTTGACTGTACTATTGTTAAGTATATGAAATATAGTTAAGAATAAGTAAACTCTAAGTGCACTGCCTGATTTTAAGTATGAAATTAGTGCACTTTTAGCATACTTGAATAAACTACTTTTTGCTAAGTGATAGGTGAGGCATTTATATGGTCCAAAGTGTGCCAAGGAAATATCTAAAAAGGCACCAGTCTGAACTATAAAAAATAAGGCTGTTTGCTTAAATTATGACCCATCATATGTATATTGCAGGTGAATCTTATCAGACCAGTAAACGTTTTTTTTAAATCCCTTGCCGTCAAATTTTACTAAGCTTTCTCTTTGCTGCCAGGAGGCGCACTGTATGGGATATCTTACTGTTGTTTTCCATTTGCCTACCGATACCCATACCTGGCTGTGTAGTATTGGTCGATACCGATACCATACCGATACCATCTGTTTGAAATGGATGTGTTTGTGTAATATGAAGAACTGCGTACTACTAAGATGTAAAATAATTGCCATCATGGCTTTGTCAAGCTGCTCCTACCTTTGTGAAGCTGGAAAAAAGACTAATACAAAGTGAATCCAGTAGAACTTTTTATTGCCTACCTGGAATTGGTGACAATAGCTGAATAAACTTTTGGCTCTCAATATGGTATCGGTGCCCTATTTGTTGGTACATGCCGATACCGATACCACCATTTTAGAGGTAGATCGGGGCCCCGCCCGATACTGGTATCGGTGCAACACTACTGTTAATTCTGACCTTTGACATCTAATTCAGGCAATTTCTTACTCACCGCAGCCTCTCACTGGAAATTTCATCATGTAAAAACCATTCTCTAATAACAAGAGATGTTCATTTCCTTTTCAATGTTCCTAATAATGAGGCCAATGAGTATATATTTAACTTAAGTCACGTCTATGTTAATCAAATATCCTGGTTATTCCAAAAACTAAACGCAGTTAAAAACAATGAAACATGTGTTTATCAATATGACTACTTTTTTGTCTATAAAATATGGAATACAATAGTTTAGCACATCAAACATTTTTTTCTTTGCAAACACGTTACATGTTCATGTCTTTGTTTGTGTCCTTCATCACTGAGAAATGATAAAATGGAAATAAATAGACAAGGCCTGAGCCCTTTGAATGTAGCAATCTGTTTCCCTCTTTGCCAATATGTGTTCAGTGTTTTCTTGCCTGAGAATTTGTCCACAGCTGTTCTGAGAAAAGTCAATGGAAAACTGAGTCAAAAGTGCATTTTATTTTCAACTGCGGTAGGAAAATTATTTAAAACTGCCAAGAATGAAGTCCAACTCCTTCTTCGTCATCAGTGAGCGTGAGTTAAGTGTTTTAAACCCAGTATTGGTTCTTTTTCTGGTTTGTTGTCCGACAGTGCTGCAACAACTCTGGATCTGCACCTTTGGAGTCCACATTTGACATGGGAATGTTATTGGCTGGGTCAGTTTTGCGAAAGGTTTCAGTTGTGGCTACCTCGCCGTTTTTGGGCTTGGAGGCTGCTGTCTGGACATTGTGTTTCCCTGTCTTGTTTTTACGGATTAAATAATATGCCAAGACACCTGCTAAAAGCAAGAGAAGGAGCACAACTAGGATAGGGATAAAGACGGACCAAAAATTGCCACGCCGGGAAATCTGCGCTATACCAGGTGATGCAGTGGTAAAATCTCTTAATGCATCTTCAGGAGTTCTCAGCAGAGTGGCAGGGTACACTGTGGAAGCATTGTAAGGGCTCGTTTGGAAAGACAGTAGGCACTCTGCTGGAGGGACCCCATGGGATTGGAGCAGGAACCGAACTTCATCCTGATCTTTCATAGCTTTTGATGAAGGGGCAGGATTCCGTATCTCCATTGCTACACGACCTTCATCCAGGTCCTTCTGGGAGAATGTTTGCACGGGCTGACCAGCATCAGGACCCACTAACTTCACAATACGAGCTCCTTTTGGCTCCTGGATGACTGTGAATGTGGGAGAGCCACTGGTCTTGTTGGCCAGTAGAGTTGCGTCTAAGAGCTTTCTGTCCAGTTGGACCAAAGAACCTTGAGGTAATAAAGGATTCTGAGAGATTTTGGCCAAAGGCTGTACAGTTATGTTAAGGACGGAGGAGACATTGGCAGCCCGGCTGCGAGCTGTAAAAGAAACACTGTCTCTGGAGGAAGTGGACTTGATAAAGCGGACACTGACTCGGCCTTCTTTGATCTGTTTCTGGGTGAAGGCCGATGTGGGCTGCCTATCTACCATAACAGCTGCATATTTTGGAGTACTGGTGATTTTGTATAGGATGTCCTCCTCTACAGGGCCTCCTGTAGAGGCCCTCAACATCTTCTCAGTCACCAGAGTCTGATCATCTCCCTGTCGTACCTTGATCTCTGGGACCTGCTCCAGATGCAGGGTGCGAGCTAGGACTCCTATGTGTAATGTGTGTCGTACAGTTACATGTTTACCATCTGTTATAGTGAATTCCACAAATCCATTTGCAAGGGTTCCATCGCTCTGGAAAGCCACCACTTTACGATTAATCATTTCTTGACTGAACTTAGCAATAGGTTCTGATGTTACAGTGTTGAAGAGATGACCATTACGAGGTTCTTTTGTCACAATGAAGACCACCTCATCTGGGGGGCTGTCTTCATCTTGGACATTGAGATGCTTCTCAGTTAGAAGGGTCCTGGAGCCTTGGAGAACCTCCAGAAGCATATCTGTTGTGACTAATTTAGGGGGGCTGGCTCTATGCTGCTTGACTGAAATAGAAAAGATCTCCTCCAGATATACAGACTCAGCATGGGAGTCCAAATCATCCCCTTCTGATTTCAGATGGGCCCTGAATAAAAAGCTGTCAGAGGAACCCCCCGATCCACCATGGAGATACTCCAGCCTTCCCTGAGATACATCCTCTTGTGTGAAGTGCGGGGCATTACCAGGTAGTTCCTTACCACTCAGGATGATACGACCATTATTAGGGAAACGTTTGATCTCAAACACAACATTCGGACCACTTTCTTCTTCAGGTAGACTTGCTAGAAGGTTGGATGCATCAAAAATCGAACTATCTATTGTTTTCCTCTGGCCCTGCATGATTTCAAGCCCTGAGAAGGAAAAATAACAACAACACATTAAATCTATAAAAATCCTTCAATTTCATACGTAAAAGAGCCCTAACATAGGGGCTAGACTGTCTCCTGTCGATGTCTAACTGTGCAGTACTTCACAATCTGGCTTTAAGAGTCTCTGCAGACACAGGTGGAGCTTATTATAGTGGCAGCAATGAAGGCAGTGTTTGTAAATCTCTTTACCACTTTAGACAGGATAGTTATAGCAAAACACAAGGATGACTTTGTAATATAGAGAAGGCATAAAACCGGAGCATTTAGATTTGTAACCATATTAAGTAGTTTTTAAAATGTACTGCCAAGAGGATTCCCTGATTGACAGCATGTATTAAAAATATTGCAGGACTATTTGGAATCAATAGTCCTGCAATAAGCAATATTTCTTTTTTTTATAAATATATACAATACATCTATACAAAAGAACAAGCTTTATGGAGTTAACCACTAAAATAAGCATAAATAATTACAAACAACTATGAGAATACCGGTATTTTGACTTTTGAAACAAACAAGTACCATGTGTTAAAAAAATGTATGTTATGTTATCATTTCCTTGAATCATTTACCTTTATTTCTCCACATCTGGGAGGAAACGTTGCTGTGAGGAGCATAGTAGGAGACAGTGATGGGGAGGAAATGACGGACCTCTGTCTGGGATGACATAGTGAACTCCATGGAGTCTCTAACCACCCAGAAAGGCTCTGTGGGCAGCTGATGTTCATAATAGAGCACTCCAGACTCCAACTGGACATCACATAAAACAACAACAAAACAATTATTTAAGAAAAGTTATGTTTAATCACATTTATTGATTCTTTTTTTAGACTTAGATTTTATTTTTTCATTTTGTACACACAAGTGTATACAAAAAGGAAATTTCGTTTAGTTTAGGTCTGTAGACTTTTCCATTTTTTTAGCAGCAGTGATAAAAACGCCGTGATGAAAAAAACACTGTGGTGAAAAAAGTGATGTAAACATACGGCTGTATGGTTACAGTTCCAGGATTTTTTTTTGTTTTTTTTATAACCCATTTTATATAACATTGCTTCGAAGTCTCTTTCCAGAGGGAAACAGACTGGGATGAAGTGACTACCCTTTTACCCTTTTCTACACTTTTTATTTTTTAGTGCTGCTACTTAAAGGTATAGTGAAGAATTTTCCCAAATTTTTGAAAAGACCCAACCTCTCCACTTAAAAAAAAAGCACATGCACAATCCTGTACCCACTCCCCAGAGGGAACACCTATTAAATACATGCGAGAGCATGCACAAGCCCATTTCTCCTTGTGCACGCTCTGTTAAAAAGTTGCTGTTTGCATCGCTCATACAAGCTTACTTTCCAAAAGAAGATTTGCAATTTTTCCACTATGTCTGACTCACCACCTGTAAGTGAAAATGGGTGACGAGCACGTAGGACGGCCTTACGTAAACATATCACCAGGATGAGTAACAATAAGAAGGACCATTTATTTTGATGATCCATCTGGAAAAAGAACATCCTCCTCTAAACCTTTAAACCAAAGAAAATGCTTCAATGGAAACATGTGAAAACTTCCACCTGCTCAAATTTAAAGGGAGATTTTAGTTTGATCCTTAAAATACTTTGGCTGAAACATTTTAAAGACAATTTGGCCTCTAGAGTCAAATTCTGCACTTTAGAGACATTTTATATTTACCAAGCAATTCTTATTTATTCATTTCCCTCAACTGTTTAGAAACAGAAAATGTAGGATGATGGTGATTACTTTGTCTTTAATTCAACTCTTCCTCCCTCATGTAATCTCAGACACTTACTCAGGTTTAGAGAGGTTTAGTCCTGAAGATCATTTCAGCTTTCTTACAGATCTTTACGGTTCTTATGCCTAAAACATGTTTACTTTTATATCAGATAATATCATGTTATAGAATCTGTATGATATGTTTTTAATAGACTCTAAACTCTCATGAATTCAGACTAGTTCTCTTATGTTAAGCCTTCAGCTTGAAAAGATTGTTAATTTATTTAGTGCCTAAAGGAATACCAGCAGCAGCAAACATTTATTGAAAGTAGTCATCAGAGAACTGTGACCTTTTGCTAATTAATGTATGCATAGATGAGACATTACTCAGGTAGAGCACGATATTTAAATATCCATGTCTTGATAGTACCAAAGTACGCCCCTATCATTGCAGCTAAGCTGTTGAAACCCAACTGTGTTAAGGTTTGACATGTTTGCATCCAGGATGGATACTGCAAATATCTAGTGTTCTATTGAAAAACTGTTATCTTTTTTATCAAGTTAATGTAACCCCTGTTACTTAAAAAGTCACTTAAATCCATTTGCTGAGTTTGAACCTCAGTCTTCACTACGTCTACATATTAAATTCATAAAAATTGGAGCAAAGAAAATTATTGAGTTTCTGTTTAGACTAAGAGCTAATTAAACGTTTTTTAAACAAATAAAGTAGTGATTTGCTCCCTTGGAGACAGGTCCCAAATTTTTAATCCTTAATCTCAAAGAGGTTACAGTAGCATGAAGCTATAGTTATTTTCTGAGAGCTTAACCTTAGTCCACTAATATAGTTTCTAAAATCTCAATACTGTTAGGATAATTATCATTATTGATGTGTGAAGTTTATTACACCTGTCAGAAGTGATGTTCTCCCCAGTAGTTTATCTAATTAGGAGAGATCCTCTGTCCGGATACACAGTTATAATCTTCATTCTGTATGTGGCAAATATTTGGGAATGGAATGACAGCGGTGTAATATTTTGATAAGGCTGAAGCCATGGGTGTCTCCTCATTTGCAAATGTGTTTGATGTAACAATGTGATGAGGTGGCTTACTGAAGTATAAAATGCATCTCTACCTGTTTGTCAGGGCCACTTCCTGTGGACTTGGTTAGCAGCTGCCTTCTGTAACTCTATGCAACTTCTCTGATCTGAGTAAGATTACAATTTCTATCAAAATCTGTTGTCATGTCTCATTTAATACATATACGTCATGTAGTGTTAAAGAGTTTGTCAGGAGTGATTTCTTTTCAGGAAAAAAAACGGAGAGAGAAAGCTTTAAAGTGCAGAGACAGAGCCTATCTTTAACAATTGGTGTTTTTTTTTTAAACACTACCCTACAAATAAAGTGGGTTAAGAAGATGGATGGTTTGATAACATTAATCATTTCAGTTTCATGATTATATATTTAAAATGACAGCACTGAGCAAATAAAAACTTCCCAGAAGATAAACACGTTTGAGGTCATCTTTTGTTTTCAGCTCAGCTTAGAGTCTGATTTTTTTCTTTTCTCTTTTTAAACAAACACTGTCAGGGACGTATGTGGAGAAATATTTTTCAATAGACGCAAACAAAAAAACAATGTATTTACTATTTGAGGAGTTTTAATGTTTAACTGAGTAAAAAGAAACACTATTTGTATTTCTTAAGAAATAACAAGGACATCAAAAGCTCGCTGTTGAACACCTTTGAATGTTATTTGATGTGAGAAATATGCTATTCGTAAAGCACAGATTTATATGTGCTTCTGAATTATTAGCTGCTGTTTTGTCAAAGCTATTTTTGAAGCACAACATAACCTCAGGCAGTGATGGAAAATTAAACTGTTACCACTACAATATGCTAAATACTGCCCTCTGCTGGTAGAAATGAGGAGCCTACTTTTTTCTAAGGAAAACCTTTTGTGATTTTTAAAATCAGTTTAAAAACGAAACATTTACACAAAAAATATTTCATAATTGAACTGCAGAAGGAAAAGAATATATTTATAATCTTAGAGCTATATAATATTCTTTTAGTCCAGGTGTGCAGGTGAGTCCTGAGTCAGTGGGAAGAGACACTGAGAATGTAAGGTCCAGATGGGTTATAGAAGAGGCCCAGTTGGATTTACCAAACCTACAGCAACATTGTTAGATTTGGGATGTAAGCATTTGTATTTGTTGTGACCTACTATTATTATTATTTTAATTTTGTCCCCAAAATTAGGTGAAAGTTATGTTGGCGTGGTAAAAGTAAAGCACTTATTTTAAACCTGACATGAGCTCCTACCTTTTTTTTTATTTTATTTTTTTTTATTTTTTATTTTTATTATTATTATGCCTTTGGAATCTACTGGACCCAAAAAAGCCTTCTTTTGTTTAAATTTCCATTTTGGGACTTTTCCAATTTTTACTTTATTTGAGAGACATTCTGAAGCACTGGGGAGTTTTTTTTTAACTCTTCATTATACACAAAAATAACATAATGAAAGCTCATTGTCTTTCACAATAAAAACCCCAAAACATTTTGGTTTCATGTATTCACACTAATATAGGTGAGCCCTAAAAATCCAGTTGATTTTTAGGATCACCTATTAATTAAGCATAATTCTTCCACTAATCCAATGATTCAAGTGCCTAAAAGGCTACAACTGCAAAGTGCATTAGGGGCCTTAGACACACTCCTGCTATCGATGTTTGCATGATCGAAATAAATCTTTATCACAATTAAAGGTTAAGGTAAGAAATCAAAGAAATCAATTTTAAGAAAACCAATCAAACTTTAAAAACACACCTGTGATTGTGTGAACAAGGTAATTTCCTCAAACTGGTTCTGGTCTTTAGCTAAGATCAGCCTTCCCAAACGAGGCGGGCGGATGAGCAGGAAGCTGGCATCACTCCCAGCCTCACTTGTTGGAACATTTAGGTTGGTGCTGTTGATTTGCTGTCGTGTTCCTGAAAAGAAACAGAAAATTTTCTCTAATAAAAGACCCCAAACTCTGACTACTGTACACACCAACCTCCTTTAAAAAGTGTGAAAATATGTCCAGATTATGCAAATGTGAAAACTCCTGATGGATGCTGCATTAAATAATAAGCCTGAGAATTAGTTCATATGTCTGCATGCATAAAATGTCATTTCCTAAGGCATTTGGAAAAAATAAATAAAGGAAAAAGAAGGTTATCAATGATTGCAAAAGATATGTCAAATTAGGTTTATTAGAAAAAATGTGTATTAAAAAAATCTATCTGGTAAAAGTAGGATTTCAGTCAAAATTTAATCAGCAACCTCAAATAACCCTGTCCTTATTTAAACCCCTTTACTTAAAAAAGCTGTCCGAAACTAAAAAGCCCCATATTAATTTGTTATATTCTCCAGCATCTACAGATGGAAGCTAAAAGCAGGTCCTGGAAGCTGTCCTCTCAAGAGTATTTAGGAGAATTAAGGGCAACTTGTAAAGCACAACGCTGTAGTTACCACTTGTACCCATTAAAGGGTGCTGTTTAGATAATTTTTATTCCCAAAAAGTTCAGTACCTGACATGCATGCAGTAAAATGCTTGCTAAACTATTCATATAATCTTGAATTTTTTTGTCCCATTATACTGTAAATAGAAAAATTTATGGATTTTCTTGGAATTTTATCTTATTAAAAAGCTTAACAAACATAACATATATAATTCTGAAACGTATGCTTTTAGATTCACCCCCCATTAAAACGATATTACTGAATTTAACACAGTGTGATCGATACCCTTTTCAAAAGTCCAAATGTGATCTAAAGAGACATGTCTTATATCCTAAACTGGACAGCCCAGTCAAAGACATCCTGTTTCAGAGAAGCAGCTAAATCTCCTATGGTAACTCTAAAGGGGCAGCAGAGATCCATAATTCAGGTGGGAGAATTTATTGACATAACAACTACAGATCATCACTCTAAAAATCTGCCGTCTCTGGAAGCAGACACCATCCCTGTTAAGCCATGAGGAGTACAGCTTGGAGTTTGCTGCAGTATAATTTCTCCTCTACCTCACTAGTTTCCAGGCAAAGTAGAATGAAATGTGTTGTTCTTATACACAGTCTCAATAACTAGATTTTGTCGTTACCGACTGAGTTGTTAATTAAGTCACAAAAGCTCCTCATAAACATCCTCATTGCTCCCAGCTGCTCCCCCTCCTTGTGCATGAAATTGTTGCTGTGCTTAATTTGCAGATCAGATATTCTAAACCTCTGAACAATCTCTGCTCTGTTCCTGCTGAGTCTGTTGTCATGATCGTAAACCAACCATTCGCCACCTCGGGTTGCCTTACCTGGAAACACAACGAGTTCCTCCCCCGTTACCAAGGTGATGGTGTGAGGCTTGGCCGTGATAACGAATAGATAAAGAGGAGATGTATGCTCTCCATCTGTCACTATGAATTTGAATCCACCAGACTGTTCACCTGGAGGAGGAGAAGAAAGTTACTCTTTCCTCTATTAAATGTATTTGGTGCATTGTAAAAGAAGGATGCAATTAAACGTTTGCTAAACCCCAGAGACCTTGATGAAGTAAACATTTATATTTATTAAAGTAAAGAGTAGAAAAGGCATATTCCATCATTTACTTTTTCACAGCAAAGGCTTAGTATGTGTTAAAAGGTGCATCGATCAGTTTTAGTGACTTTCTGATCACTTTTGAATGCTGCGTGTTGCACAGACAACAGCATTCAAGGAAAAAAGAAAAACCAAAATGGCTGCACATAAAGCTGATCTAATGGAGAAACTGTAGAAAATGACATTCAGCCTCTAACCCTCATGGATGAAGATGATCTCCCCTCTGTTTATGTGGGCCTGTGAGAAATTTTGAATGCTCTCCCCCGGCTCCTCTTTTAATGCCACCATCCCGTTGGTTGGAATTTCTATTTGGTAAACCAGCTCCTCAGCAGGGGTGTCTTTATCCTCTGTGCTCAGCATACTGGCAGTGATAATGGCTTCCTCATTGGCAAAAACCTAGGGAATATCAAAGACAGAGAGCACAGGGAATCACACTGAGATGAAGAGGCACCACCGATTACACAGGAGACCATGCACCCAGATAGATATGGGACTTCACAGAGCTGCAAAGAAAAATCTGCTAATTTTCCTTTTAACTACGTCTGATCGAGGATCAGCTGGCTAGAAACACAAAAATTCTTTCCTCTACAGAGCTCTTCCATTTGAACTTTTTCATGATACTCAAATGTTTTATTTCCTCAAAATTATTGAAAGTCTGACAAAAATAATAAGAGTGAATACAGAAATGTCATTTTCTTATAAAGGAAAAAAAAGCGATCAAAGCCAACCTTACTCTGTTAAAAAAAGAATTTCCCCATACATGTGAGCTGCTGTAATGCCACTATAAGCTGCAAGTGCAATCAAGCATTTTTGGTAACTTGGTTTAAAACATCATTGCAGAGGAATTTTTAAAAAAGGTTTCTGTGCAGCAGAGTTGGCACAATTCAGCCACAAGACTCTCTAGCATGAGGACCCTTCTTAAAAATATGTGTAAGAATCCCAGTTGGATTTAAAGTGTAACTCACCCCCAAATCAACTTTTTTTTTATAGATAAAATAATTTTTACTTCTTTTTATTTCAGCTCATTTAGCTTTGCAATATTTGTCCTAAAACTGCCAAAGTGCTGCTTGTAAAATTGTTTGTCATCATCATCATCATTGTTAGGTTTATTCAATGATGATTATAAAATTAATGTGTGTGTGCTTATGAAACATTGCAGCAAGGAGATGCTCCACTCTGTCTTGTGATTCAGTCAGAAGACCACCCTGCCTTGTAATTCAGTTGGTGGAGCATCCTGTCTTATGACCTGATCAATTGTTCTGTCAGAATAATACTGTTTTGTAACCATGTGTTATGTTCTGTTAATAAAAGACGACTGCAGGAGGGGGGTCGGTGAAAGAGTTGAAAGTTGGGTTGGGCTCTTTCCACTCCTGCAGGAGCTGTTTGAATCTCCGTCCTGTGTGGACTCAGTTTCTCTTTTACGAACCTACATTTTTGAAACTAACAATCATGCTTGGGTCATCCAGCTCTGAGTGTTGCTGCCCCAGTGATTTAAATTGGTAAGACTTTTATCTACTGGGCTCCGCAAAGCCTAACTAATGTTCTAGTGTCAAGATAGATCAGGATTCCAACACCTCAAAAGATCTACCTGTGCTGTTACAACCACTGGCACCATGTTGTCTCAAATCTGACAACTCACCGTTGGGCTACAGAAAAAGCAGTGCAGTGTGCTTTATATTCATCATTATCGCAGACTTTTTCTACCCAGGTATTTGTTTTTTCCCATTTCTCCCTATATTTCTGCTCCCTTTGTCTTTTTTTCGGAGGAGGAGCATCGCTATGCAAAGGTGCACCACCCCCGAAAGCAGCGTCAGCGTTAAAATTACTCCATCCATCCCCCATACTGCTCTGCTGTCTCCTGCCATGGTTCAGCCAATGTGATTAGGGGGATTCTGGATCACTACATATATGTTGTCAGCTCTTTGGTCACAATGCAGGTTTACCATACGTTTTGTATCTAACGTGCCCTTGTTCTTCATTTCCCATTAGCTTTAATACTAACCTTTTACTTTTACACTAATATGGGACAAAGTGTGTTCCTTTTCCACTAAAAACAGGACAGATACTTCTATTTCTGAAAATGGAACAATTCCGTTTTTTTAAGGGACGGTTGGCAACCCTACTTGGCACTGATTACTTTAATGAGATTTTCAAGTCGTTTTTTGGGAACAAGGTTATGTTTGTGTATCAAGGTGAGTTTTATGTTAATTCATAGATTTGACAAAAATATTGCAAAACTGGTTCCATTCAGAGCTGGGGTTGGGTGTGTGTTTAAAATGATTGTCGACCTGCAAAAGTGGGCTCCAGATCACGGTTACAAACTAATAACTAGAAAATTCTGGTAGAGTTCACAGCAACTTAGCCTGTAGCAGCAAAGCATGCTAGACCATCACAAGACCATCACATTACCACCACTGTGTTTGATAGTCAGTATAGAGGAGCACTCCAGTGAATATTACAGTAGCTTCACAGAGGATGTATTTCTTTGTTTTGGAAATTTTCTGTTAATTTGGAGTCTGAAACTGACCAACTTTAGCAGATAATTAAACGCAGGTAAGATAAGCAATGCTGTTTTTTTCTTTTAGACTTTTAACCTTACTCTGCTATTGAACATGGTGGGGCTGAGAAAGTTAACAGTGTTTTGGACATCTACCAGTAAATGCACTTTGTAACTCTAACCCATGTTTTAAGCTACTAGCTCATTACACAAGAGGTAATACTTTAGATCAGTTTTTTCCCTAGTTTATTTTACTTGTGTACCCCTTTGGGCATGCTTTCTTACCTTTAGTACCCCCATCAGTGAATTATATAAGTATTTATTGTTCAAAAGTGGAACATACAATAACTGATTATAAAATAAAAACTATTTAACTTAATCTTTTAAGTTGAGCATTTAATTCTTAGGCATTTTATTCTACCCATCTCAAATAAAAAAAACAACAACATTAATATGTTACTTGGAAGTAAGTAAGCAATTGAAATACATACAAAATAAAATCCTATTATAAACATGTATTTATAAAACTGAAGCCCCTCTGAGTAACTCTATAATCACATTTAAACTTGATGAATTTGGAACAAAATACAGAGCAAATATTATAATCAGACTGACTTAATTATTATGACTTTGTTTTCATCAAGACACCTGAGCTGCTTTGATGAGCTCCGACAGCTCAGTGTGAAAAACAGCTGATCCCAGGCTGGTCTCTCCAGTCTGTTCCTCTGCTTGGTTTGGATGTGTGTCACAGCTGAAGATGAACTCAAACATATAGGAAACTTTTTGATTGATAAAAGTTTGATAAATATTTTTTTCCCTTAACAAAACAAAACAGATCCCAGCTCTATTTTTTTTTTTTTTTACTATCTAAGGAATATAATATTTTCATGTAACCTTGCAATGCACTCACAGACCACTAGGAAAGGAATGACTGCTTTAGATGGTTAAAAGCCTGAATTAAAAACCTGGTTCCCTCTCATGGTGGGATGTAATCTCTGCTCTTGATACGAATAACTAATGCCTGCAGGAAGGCTGGCAAAAAAGCTTTGAACTGAAATCTATATCATACACAAACCAAAAGATCAAGAATCGGCCACAAACATCTGATAGGAGCATCTCTACAAAACAAAAACAACAATATTAAACAGATAAACACAATGCTGCTCATTCAGTAGCCACCGACTACAATTAAAATAGTTAATTGTGTTTCCACAGCAGCGCCTTGATGCTCCTGTTATCAGAAGATGGAGCAGTGTTGCGGGCTGAATGACTCTCCCTGGGTGGAGGGCCTCTAATGGACTTCTAATGGTTGGCTGGCTGAAAGAAGCATTAATTGAAAGAAATGGGCCAGATCCCGAGACAGGCATTCTTAAATAGCCTGGATCAGTCTGGAGAGTGAGCTGAGGTTGCCTTGCAATAAGAGTTTCCTATCGATCTATGGAGTCATTCTTCCTCCAATATCTCTCCTTTTCTTCCTTTAGACTCTGGATAAAGCGTAAGAACCCTCAGGCAGAAAGAAGAGAAGATTCCTCAGACCCAGATATCACTTTGTCCGAGCTGCTCACTAAGGTAGCTGTGAGTGTGCTGTACAACAGCATGTGCAGCACAAATAAACCATCATTACAAGTAGTCCTGTATGTTTAGTGTTTTTTTGTCTTTATTTTTTATAAGTATGACTTTCTGTGGTGAGCTTTTTGCTGCAAAGCAACAGAAAGTATAAAAAAAAACCTTAAAATACTCAGTATAGGAGAATCTTCACCAGCATACAAGTACCACAGAGACCATGTTAGCTTTAACAAGGGAGTCTGAGCTATATGCTTGGCCTTTTTCAAAACAATGAACGTTGGTTAACAGATGTTGCAACAACCTATGGACTCTAACCCGCAGTTAAGAGTCAGAGTCCTGGTCTGTTGACCTTTGCCACATCTTCCGTCCCTCTCTCAATCTCCCTCCTTTTAAGACTACTTTCAAAATAATAACTATAGAGGCCACTAGTGCCTGGTGCCAATTTAAAGTAAAAAGGACAATTTTTATCAGAAGTCAAACATATTTTACATTTAGCCCTTCTGTATTAAACTTGTTTCTTTTTACTTATAAATTTTCTCATCTTCTAGGATTTTAAATATCTATCTATCTATCTATCTATCTATCTATCTATCTATCTATCTATCTATCTATCTATCTATCTATCTATCTATCTATCT